GGCACGTGGAAAGAATATCAGCAGCAGGCAAGAGAATGTTAAAATGAACTTTTAAAGAAACAGACTTCAGGAAGGACACAATACATTTTTCCTCTCTACTTTAAGTCAAGTCTTACAATGTTGCTTTCAAATTTTGTTCTATACCAACTCCACCCTTCACTGTTTTCCTTATTTGATTAGAACCATCTGGGAGATCTTCTTTCCATTTATTAGTTCTATGGAATAGATATAGTTTATCATCCTAAAAAAGCTCTAATATAGAATAAAAATGAGAGACTTTGTTAATGATCAAATTTTCATATCTGCAGAGAAAGCACCATCCTACCATGTAATGTAGAAAATCAGTTCCTTTTAAAGGAATAACAATGTGGGGACAAAAACTGCTTATACCCACATACTAGTTCTAGATAATTTTCTTTCCAAAAAAATAAAATGCTGTTTACAAAAAGTTACCAAGGCAAAGTCATTTGTTGTTCTGTCCAACAAGATCACTGACATGGAGACAGGTAATGTCTCTAAGCAGTAGCTGCACAACTAAAAAGTGGAAATATAAAAGGGAGCTCACATCAATAAAGCAATGAAATAATTAAGTTCATGTAAAGCTTAGTTCCCCACACTTATTATTCATTTGTTTTTAAGGTACCTTTTACATTGACTGTTTTAAGTTCTCTTTAGCTCATCTACAATTTATAAACACTTTAAAGTATCGTTTCTCCTCGTATTGTTAAGGATAAAGCAACCCGAATAGCACACTACTGATAAACACAAGGAGATAAGTCAATTCCATTTACTTCTAATCCAGGAACAAATAGAAACCAAGATGAAATCAACTTACACACCCTGTTATTTGCCACCTCTTTACCTTTTTGTTTCTGCTACTTATATAGCTGTAGTCATTACTACTTTATTTTTATTTTTATTTATTTATTTTTTGAGTTGGAGTCTCACTCTGTCACCCAGACTGGAGTGCAGTGGCCGCTCCCGGCCACCGCAGCCTCAACCTGCTGGGCTCCGACGATCCTTCCGCCTCAGCCCCCCAAGTAGCCAGAACTACAGGCATGTGCTACCATGCTCAGCTAATTTTTTTTGATTTATTGTAGAGATGAGGTCTTCCTGCCCAGGTGGGTCTCGAACCCGCGGGCTCAGGCAATCCACTAACCTCAGTCTCCCAAAGGCGCGGGATTACAGGCTGAGCCACCAAGCCCGGCTTACTTTATTTTTTTTTTTTATTTTATTTCAAAGATGTGGGTTACAATTCAGGGTTAGATATACAAACATTGATTATGCAGGTACCCTTGTTGATGAGGTGTGCCCCTCCCTCCCCTAGCAGTTTCCCTCAGCTGCCAATCCCAACCCCTCTCCCCTGGCAGTTTCCCACTACTGGCAATCCCTTTCTTATAGTATTATGATAATTGTTCAAGGTCCGCTTATGAGTGAGAACATATGGTACTCTTTTGTTTCTGTGATAGATCACTGAATGGTCGACTCTAAATCCATCCAAGTTGCTAGTCATTACTATTTTCATGCTAGGAAGTGTTGGTTTTTCCTGCTTGGATTTGTTTAATAAATTACTGAATTTTCACTTTTTCATATAACAGTGCTTTATGCAAAGATGCAATTAATCCCATTAAGGCAAGAAAACCAGGGTATCACTATGGTGAGCTCTAATCCAATATGACTGGTATCCTTATAAGAAAAGGAGGTTAGGAAACAGACACACATTCGGATAGATTATATAAAGACACGGAGAGAAGATGGCCACCTACAAGACTCAGAAACCAACCCTGCAGACACCCTGATCTCAGACTTCTAGCCTCTGGGATTGCGAGAAAATACTTTTCCATTGTTTAAGCCACCCAGTCTGTGGGACTTTGTTACGGCAGCCCTATCGAACTGTAGAAGTGAGTGAAAGGAAATCTTAGCGCATCATTATTTATCATTATTTACGACATAGTCATTTTTCAATATCAATAAGCTGCATTTTCATGGAATTCTCCAATCCTGTATTCACATGGCATGCTGTAGCTAGAACGAAGGTTGAGGCCGATGGAGTCAGGGCCCCACCCAAATCCCCAGAGGTCATGTCAAAGAAATCCTGAATGCCAGCTTCCTGATGCATTACTTCACCTCAGAACTGTGCGCCCGTGTCCATAGACTGGATATGACTGACAGTCAAGGTCCCAGGAGTGGCCCTCCATTAATAGGGAGGATAAATTGGTAGATTAATAACTGTTAGGTTTTGTCCTGACATAGACTCTGCTCCCCCTACACCTGACTTCTTTCTTTCCTCTCCCTCAGGGAGCAGCCTCTGGCCAAGACTGGTCTCTGAAGAATATGCATATTCCCAGTAATGAGTCATGGGATGCAGGTGATCAAGCAATGCTGAAAGCAATATAGGTAGCACTCTTAATTGATGTCATTGGAAGCACTGTAGAATAATTAACTTGCTTGATTATAAAACTGTTTGCTGTACTGTCCTGAGGTGCAGATTCTTCACCGACTGGCCGCCATCAGTGCCTCCTGTAAGTTTTAATAAACCAATGTTTTTCCCTGAAAAAAACAAAACAAAACAAAACAAAAACCAGGGTAAACTGTAGGCTGAGTATCATAGTGCCACTTAGTCTAGGCCCAGCTATGTGACCTTGGACCAATTCAATTTGGTCATGTATACCATGAAAATGATAATATTCAACTCAGAAGAGTGTGGTGAGGCTTAAATGAGATTAATGTATCTGAAAGAGCTTTGAAACGCTTAAAATACCATACAAATGTGAGGTACATTTGATTATTAATTGCAAGTATGTAAAAAATCTACTAATTGTAAGAAACTTAGGGAACAATGAACTCAAACTTCTCATTCCCCAAAAGGAGTGTGAAAACAGGGTGACTTGGAGAGCTCACAAGACAGCAGGGAATGTAGGAGTTGAAATGACCCAGATCTGAGTCTCACTTCAAAGTCCTTTCCATTGTTATGCTGCTGTTCACTATTCTGTAAATTTAAAATCTCTCTTCATCATAGGATCATGTAGCTTAAACAGTTACATTTTCAAAGTGGTTGAAATAAAAATCTTATTAACAAGATGTAAATATTATTGTGGTGAGAGGATTCAATTGCTAATAGTTCAATTAAGAATGTTTAGCAGCCCCATTAAAAAGTGGGAAAAAGACATGAATAGACACTTCTCAAAAGAAGATATACGGGCAGCCAACAGACACATGAAAAAGTGCTCAGCCTCACTCATCATCAGAGAAATGCAAATCAAAACCACACTGAGATACCACCTAACACCAGTAAGAATGACCATCATTAATAAAACAAACAACAATAGATGCTGGCGAGGATGCAGAGATAAAGTGTTTCTACTGCTGGTGGGAATGCAAACTAGTGCAACCTCTCTGGAAGACAGTGTGGCGATTTCTGAAAGAACTAGAAACCGACCTTTCATATGACCCAGCAATTCCCCTATTGGGAATATACCTGGAGGAACTCAAATCATTCTACAAAAAAGATACCTGTGCACGTATGTTTGTTGCAGCTCTATTCACAATAGCAAAAACTTGGAACCAACGATGTTGCCCATCAAAGTTGAACTGGATTAAAAAATGTGGTGCATATACATAATGGAATATTATGCAGCCATAAAAAAGGACAAACATATGGACTTCACAGCAACTTGGATGGATTTGGAGTTGAGCATACTCAGTGATCTATCACAGAAACAAAGAACAGAGCACCATGTTCTCACTCGTAAGTGGACCTTGAACAATTATAACACTATAAGAAAGGGATTGGCAGTAGTGGGAAACTGTCAGGGGAGGGGGGCAGGATTGGCAGTTGAGGGAAACTGCTAGGGGAGGGAGGGACACACCTCATCAACAAGGGTACCTGCATAATCAATGTTTATATACCTACTATATCCCACTGTACCCCACATCTTTATTTAAAAAAAAAAAAGTTTAGGCCGGGTCCAGTGGCTCAGCCTATTATCCCAACACTTTGGATTGCCTGAGCCCGCGGGTTCGAGACCAGCCCTGGCACCTTGGCGAGACCTCATCTCTACAATAAATAAAAAATTGGCCAGCATGGTAGCACACACCTGTGGTTCCAGCTACCTGGAAGGCTGAGACAGAAGGATCGCCAGAGCCCAGCATGTCAACACTGGGGTGGCCGTGAGCATGCCAGTGCACTCCAGTCTGGGTGACAGAGTGAGATTCCAACTCAAAAAAAAAAAAAAAGTTTATAAATGATGCTAATCACAAAAGGAGCTCAAACTAGCTTAGCTATTTGTTTACTTTGAGTAATATTAAGTTTTAAGTCAATAGGTATGTGAGCCCTATCTAACCTTTCCCAATAGTCAGTTTTGATTCTGCTTTTGATACTTACTACCTATGTGATCTTAGGCACTTTAATTATTTCACTGTCTTAAAAATAAGAGATAATACCAAGTGCGTCACCTGGCTATTGCCTTACAGTAGTGTCTAGCACATAGTAAGTGCTTTCCCCTTCTCTAATCTTCTAAACTTTGGGGACTAAAGAATCTTCTCCTCTCCCTTTACTTCATCAGAAAGCATCCTTAGATGAAATATGTATGGGTCCTGGTTCTCCACTTCAGTAATCAGTAGTTGTACAACAACTAAACCTAAATACAATGCAGGACATTGTGACATAATGGAAGGCAAATGAGGTTTGGAGTCAACAGATATAAGTTTGAATTGCAATTTGACTTCAGTGTTTGACCTTGTCCAATTTACCAAACTTCACAAAACTTCCCATCTTAGAATGTGAATATTATCTAGCTTTTTATCATTTTGTCTTTTATATTCATAGGTAGGTTGCAAATATTTCTAAAAGGGCATGCCTTATTCATCTTTGCCCTCTCCACACTATTACAGCATGGCTCAAAATTGTTAGATGTGATGATGAAATAAGGCAGGAGATTAATAAAGGAGATTCAAGACTAGAATAAACATATTACATTATGGAAAGAAGACATACAAACCTGGCTTAACTGGCTCCAACTTTAGACATTATGTTGTTGCTTCCTTTTCTTTCCTTACAAACGGATTCAAATCTTCTTTTCCTACAGGAAGATGCAACATAGGGAATATATATTAGTGAAGGTATTTGAATTCCTCTTTAAAACTGAACATTCTTACTATGCAGGCATAAAGAAGGACAAACATATGGACTTTGCAGCAACTTGGATGGATTTAGAGTCTATCATACTCAGTGATTTGTCACAGAAAAAAAGAACAGAGTACCATATGTTCTCAATCATAAGCGGACAATGAACAATTATAATATTATAAGAAAGGGATTGGCAGTAGTGGGAAACTGCCAGGGGAAGGGAGTGGGATTGGCAGTTGAGGGTAACTGCCCGGGGTGGGGGTGTGCGGGGGGAAGGATTCTCAACAACAAGGGTACCTGCATAAGGAACATTTGTATACCACCCTAAATTGCACCCCACATCTTCAAAATTAAAAATAAATAAATAAACAAACAAATAAATAAAACTGAGCATTCTTTAATTCACACAAGGCAAGGTCAAACTTTCACACGTTCTATCTGATGAACTTGTTTTTTTAAGCAATAAAATAACCAAGAGGTGTTTTAGCTGGATAATATTCCAGAAACATAGGTTTAAGTAGCCAAAAAGTAAATATATCCTTTAATATTATATAAATAAATGTGTTCCTTGCTTCAAAAATTTAAAGAATGGTTTCTGTTAACTACTCAAGAATTGCATAAAGCACTGTGGTTTATTACATTATGCAAAATACTTCTAGTTCTTAGAGTTTTTAACCTTTTGGGTAGAGAGTGAGTTATACGGAAACTATGAGAATCTGAAAAAACTATGAATCTCATCCTCATAAAAATGCACATAGAGGCATCATATCTTGCATATAATTTTGGTTGAATCATGAAACCCAGCCTGTACCCTGTGGATCTCTAAATCCTGTTGGTAGACTCCAGGTAACCTCTGTTCTTGAGTTTTTAAAAATGAATGAACTTACAGAATTTTTCAAACCTTAAGCAATTTAGGAATCCTCTAATGCAAACTGCTAATAGAAAAATGAAGAAATAGTGACTCAAAGAGATGAAAAGGCTTAAGTAAAGCCACAGTGCATTCAAGAACAGAGAGGTGTCCAACCAATATACTAATCCACATGAGACTGACCATGAAAAATTTAGTATAAATCAGTGCCTTTGGGCCAGAAGAATTCTCACAAACCTGAACAAGAGACTTTAAAATGTTTTCTGGTCTAAACACATAATAGATTATCAGTTGTTAAGAGAAGGAATTTTGGAGTTATACAGATGTGTGAAAACGCTGATAAGTCACTAAATCTTTTTATTCATGGGTTCTTCAAATACAAAATGGAAATAATAAAATATACCCTTTCAGGATTATTTTAAGGATAAAAGGAGGTAGCATGCATAAAGTATTTAACAAGATACCTAGTACATAATAGGTGTTTATGAAGTGAGATGAATTAAGAAGTATTTGTCAAGTAATGAAATTGGATAAAACATGAAACAAAATCTCAAAGTAAATGTTTTCTAGCTGAACAAAATAAAATAAGTGACACATTTAAACACTGAGTACCTACTACATAATACTACATAATATAATATTCAAGGTATTACTGAGTATACAAAAAGGATAGAACTGTCCTCTCCTTAAAAGTAATTAGGTATTACAAAGTGGGCAAAAAATATGAACAGACACTTCACAAAAGAAGACATACGAGTGACCAACAGATACATGAAGAAATGTTCAAACTCACTAATCATCAAGGAGATGCAAATTAAAACTACACTGAGATACCACCTAACTCCAGTCAGAATGGCCGTTATCAATAACTCAAAAAAATAACAGATGCTGGAGAGGATGTGGTAAAAAGGGAACACTTATACACTGTTGGTGGGAGTGTAAACTAGTGCAACCTCTGTGGAAAGCAGTGTGGCAATTCCTAAAAGCTCTAAATATCGACCTCCCATATGACCCAGCAATCTCTCTCCTGGGAATATAGCCTGAAGAACTCAAATCACTCTATAAAAAAGATACCTGCACATGTATGTTTATCACAGCATTGTTCACAACAGCAAGAACCTGGAATCAACCATGCTGTGCATCAAAAGAGGACTGGATTAAAAAATGTGGTACATATACAAGATGGAATACGATGCAGCCATAAAAAAGAATAAAATCATGAATTTCGCAGCAACCTGGATGGAACTAGAGTCTATAATACTGAGTGATCTTTCACAGCAACAAAGATCGAAGTATCACATGTTCTCATTTGTAAGTGGACCTTGAACACCTATCATAATATTATAAGAAAAGGATCGACAGTGGTGGGAATCTATGGGGGTGGGGACAGGGAGGGCAAGGGTGGTGGGATTAATAGTAGTCAATATCTGTCTGGGGACGGGGGGGAACGCCCCTTATCAACAAGGGTGCCTGAATGATGCATATTTGTATACCTAACCCTTAACTGTACCCCACAATTTTAAAATAAAAAATATGTTTAAAAAATAAATAAATAAAAAATAAAAAGACATGAACTATCAAAAAAAGAAAGTAATTGGGCAAAGATACAAAGCTTTCTCCTTCTCGGTTTCCTTCTTGGGTTCTTCCTTTTTCTTTTCCTCTTAGGGTTCAGTGTTATGCCCACTTCACACTCTATCTACATTCCCTGTGCTTCCAACAGAACTGAGAGGAACTCAAATGAATACCACCAATTCTGACCTTTCACCTGAGCCTCAGACTCCTATATCCAGTTGTTTGCTGGATGTTACCAACTGAAATTACCACAGGCAAAAACTCTATATGTTCAAAACGGAGCATTCATCTTTTTCTAAAATGTGTTCCTTTTTAAAAGTCCCTGTCCCAGTGGTACCACAGCCACTTAACTACTCGAGCCAGAAGTTTGACAATAATCTCAAATGTCATGATCATCTTCAAATCTTACTGACCTCTACTCTAAACATTTTCCAAGTCTATTTCCTCAACTCCATCCCTGTTCATAGTATCCAAATCCAGGTTATCTCTTGATACAACCAAATCAATAATCAAACCCTGTCTGCCCATCTCTACTCTTATTCTATCTCAAATTTATGTACTTATTGCAAAGAAAATGATTGGTCTAAAATGACAATCTTGCCATGTTAAACACTAATATATGTCAAACTCTGCAATGGCAACCTATCACTAACAGAATAAAGTTCGAGCTCACTCACAGAACAAATGTCCACGTATGACATACAATGTCTTCGATGACCTGGCTCCTACCTAGCTCTTCAGCTTCATTTCCTGTATCCCACGTCATCACACTACAGCCATACTAGTCTCTCTGTCAGTACCATGTATTCTCATGCTGTTCTCTTTGTCAACTTATCTTTAATCCCTTTCCACAATGGGAAACCCTGACTTGTTCTTCAAGATTCAGGTCCAGGATCACCTGAAAAGCCTGACCACAGCATACTTTCCTAGCCCACCAAGCTCACACATCATCATATAAGCACCCAGGAGATATTTGTTTAACTGAATACAAATGAAACTAGGCAAACCAATGTCAAAGAAGTATATAACTTATATGTATAAAGTCAGTGAGAAGAGAAACTAGATGATTTTAGTAAGTTTCTTTGAAGAAAAAATCTTGATCTGGGAGATCCAAGGAGTAATTGTTCATGGATTGTTGAAGAGAAGAAATAAAAGAATTTAAGTCATAAAACAGAGATGGAAATCAACACATTTGAGGGGACTAAGGTGACAGATGTATGACAAGGTTTGGAGGGAGGAGAGTAAAGAGCAAATGTCAACTCACCACTGTAGTTATCCTTACAAAGAGGCTTAGATACCACAACCATACTTCACCAAAGACTTTCAAACAGGTTTCTCTCAAACTATAGGGCACAGTGCCATTTAGATACCATCCTGCACTTCCATAAGAGATGTATTAGTCCAGAAAAATACTTTTATCTTTCAGTCAATTCCCTGTATTCTTATGGATTTAAGAAGGTGTCCCCACTTTATTAGCACCTAACTGAAGAACTCCAGATAAAATTCTCAAATTTTAACATATCTCTATATTGCGTAACTGTAAGGTAACACAGACTTTCAGTTATGTCACAGGCTAGTCAATATTAGGGTGCTCCAAATCAGCAGGGAAAATGAAAACACAGTAAGTTTGATGCTCAAGCCACAGAGAATTTCAACTGGAAATATTTTGCTTTCTGAACGCAGTATAATTAAAGAGCATCAATACTTAAATATGGTGCAGAAGAATAGACCTATGGGGTATTTCTATATGAATAGTGAAATTAAGATCATCTACCAAAGATAAGGAGGAAACAAAGGTTGTCATAACTACTCTTTTTTGGTGTGTGTGGGGGTAATAACATAGAATTTATTGAGAAGACAGAAAAGCTCCCATAGCAGGAAGGGACCCGAAGGGGTTGTCCATCATAAACTACTCTTAATGACACAGAATCTACCGTCTGTAGTAAAGATAGCATTCACCCTAATACCTTAGAAGATCACATAATCAGTCAGAGGAAGATTGAATCAGAAACATAACAGCACAAATAAACAGTCACCCCACACTGAGACAGGCATCTCTAAATGTAGGTCTGTATCATTTCTATTTTAAATATTTAACTGTATAGCTACATAAGATAATCCCTAAGGCAGACCTTCTATACCAAGGAGAAAGATGATTAGAAAACAGATATATGCTAACAAGCACAGAATCCCTTTGGAGTATAAAAGTCATTGCATGAGGTTGTATATCTCTTTGTCCTTGACTCTGTAAATGCCAATTCCCTGATTTCAGGTTGCAGACAGTAAAAAGTGAGATACAAAACTGAATGTTAATTTTCAACATAACACTGGTATGTCAGAAGGTGTCGGTAATTCTCACTCTCATATAATACCTGTCACTTTAAAACACCTCTCCTGATATGAACCAACACTCGTAAATGAAAGGTTAAAAAATGCTTTTGAGCTGTTGTATTCAAGCAAATTGACAGATATAAATGCACACACACTAGTCTCTGATTATGAAATCTCCTCAC